AGGGAGAGAGAGAGAGAGAGAGAGAGAGAGAGAGAGAGAGAGAGAGAGAGAGAGAGAGAGAGAGTGGACTGGGCTATCGCGGAGGCCAGGCGGCTTACCTGAAGACTCACCTGTCGGCGCCAGCGCTCCAGCTTCGTAGTCAGTGCGTCCGTACCTGCATCAAGGCGACACCTTTCGCAGGTTAGTACCTGGTATCCAGCGAGAGAGAGAGAGAGAGAGAGAGAGAGAGAGAGAGAGAGAGAGAGAGAGAGAGAGAGAGAGAGAGAGAGAGAGAGAGAGATTTACGACATTGGGATTTGGTGACATTCGGATTCAGACTTGACCTTTGGACAGAGACATTGTGGGGGACTATTTTTGGATCAGTATCGATGACATTTTGAGTTGGCGACTCTTCCTTCCCCCCCCCTTCGTCCCTTCTCCCTCCTCATCCGTGTATGCCCAGGGCCTGGCGCCGCGTTTGTGTATGACAACGCCAGGTCCCCTCGCACACTGTGGGATGATGATGATGATGATGATGATGTTCAGTCTGCGTCATGACATTGATTGGGTCTGCTTATGTAGAAGGCACGGACCGCAGACTGAACATCATCATCATCATCCCACAGTGGTATTTCAGTCTTCCGCTGTGCTATCCTTACTACATCTGTGAGAGGTCGGTTCTTGGTTCTGGTCTGCACGGCATTGGTATGCGACAGTAGTGAGAAAAAAAAAAGAAAAAAAAAAAATTGGCAGTGAGCTAGAGCAGTCGATAGCGGGCCAAAGGGCCTTGTTAGACACCGGGACGAATTCAGCAGCAAAATTTGTCCCTGCCCAGCGGGCCCCCCGGGCTCCCGCGCCCCCACTCCCCCACTCCCCCGACCACAGAGCGCCCCGCCCCGCACCCCGCCCCTGCCTTTTCCCCAGGCGGTCTTTTGCGGGCTCGGACCGCCTGGTTGTGCTGGTCTCGCTCTCCACTGTGATGATTCTTCTAGTGTGGGCCGCCCTGAAACTGGCCCGGAGGATATCAAGTCCTTCCCGCCCTTCCTACCCTCTTCCCCCGAATACAACGCACGGTCATTATAGCTGTATCTAGACAGAAATATGCCTCAAATACAGCTATAATGACCATGCATTGTATTTGGGGGAAGAATGTAGGAATGTTTGCAGGAATGTCGTTCGATGGAGAGTGCCCCGGTGGGGAAACAGCTATGGAAGCAACTATGGCGGCGGTGCGCCCCGGTGATGTAATCCAGCGTCCCTCACAATGAATGGAATCCAAATTTTCACCAGTTGTTATTTTTCGTATTTCTTTTTTTCTTCTCTGCAGTCCGTGCCTTTCAGCTGCGCAAGCGTGTGCTTATCCTTTTTGTCCACATGCATTTGCAATGTCCCCTTCTGCTGTAGGACCCAGTGTCGAGGCGAATACACAGCGTAAAACGGAAGTCATTCTGCTGCAGACCAACGGCATTCACAATAACTAAGAGAGAATGGGCTTCGCTGCACTACTCTCCCAATGTGCAAAATGAGAATGAAACTTCTCCTAGAACGTGGAAAGATACGACCGTCATATTTTTTTGTCAAGTGGTGTGGCGAGGCCCTCAATGATGCAAGGAAGCAAAACTCCGAACAACAGCACGGCATGCTCCCTGGCGTGAAATGGTTGCATCTGTCTACCCGAAGTCGGAGAAGTACCTCCCTACAAGAATTGTGAAGGCGAACGAACGCCTTCGAAAACACCAATCCCGCAGCAGCCCAAGAAAATCTCACCACCAAGTCGTGGTGCGCGTGTAGGCGATGCACGAGGCAGCTGGCAGAATTTTATGAATGGACAGTAGTACTTGGGGGGCGTCCAGTGTCGCCCGCAGTCATACCGTGGTAGCCATCTTCCACGATAACATGCAGGTTGGACGGAGGCCTTTGATTGTAACTCAGGTCCGCATTTCTTCTATTTTTTTCAATGGAACACTGTCAGGTGATTCTTTTTCTTAAGATAGGAAGTTTACAAGGTTGGGAAGCAATTCGGCAGAGATGTCCGAATTGCTGCATCCTGACCGCCCACCCCGAAAAAAGACTGGGGAGGTTACCCAGCATCGCATATGAGCATCCATCACTTTCTGAAAGCAAAGAAACAGAAACTGGACAAAGGTCAAAACAAGAAAG